AAAATTACAAAAGGTCACGTGACACGTACAGCCTACGCAGGCGCACACCTATGCTATGTGTGTGGTTCTATCGTTGTCTCTTGACAGCCATGCATAACATATGATCCTCTGTTTGGGTATGCTTATGTACCTCAGAGCGTGACGGACTGAAAGCTGTCGATCTACGCACTATAGACTATATGCCCGACTCGACATATCTGCGCCGTTCCAATCTACTGCTGATGAACGGTCTGGAGTACGCGTAGCTGAGCGCCCCGGGTCATGTTTCACTCGCACCATGGCAAGCACCGAGCTAAATTTTAACTTCAAGACAGACGTACTTGCTCTTTCGACGTCCATATTTCCTATAAATTTTTGTGGCGGCCGGACTGTATCGAGCATTTCCATGGAATCTTTGGATGGGGGTCGTGTATCCAGTGGATGTACATGCGCAACATGCGAGGGCGTGCGTTCGAACCCCCCGGCGTAGGCTCTCCTGAAATTTGAATTTTGAACACACCATGCTTATTTTCTACCGCACTAAATCGCCTCAAACCTTTTGCATTAGGTGGCAATGAGACCTAGGTATACGTCGGCAGCATAATTGGGCTGCAAGACGCCAAGCTTGCGCAGAGGTCGGCTCGCGTGTGAAGCTTCCTCGCGGATTTTGGTGCTGCCGCAGTGTGGTATGCTCTAGCTAAAGTCTAAATTTCTCACCCTACCATGTGTATCTGGGCGTAAAAAACATACCCTGTTGTGCCCTTGCATCGTGTTAACATACCTCTCGAGTTTTCTGGGCAGTTTAGCCTCTGGTTCGCCCTCTAGAGCCCGTGCTGGGTGTGGAGGTCTGTTGCGCCGCGAGCCGCCTGATCCGAGGGGTTTCCACAGGGGGCTACTTTCCCGTTGGAAGCGTTTTTTCTCACACTTACTTTTTTTTTTTCTGTCGTGCAGCACCAGTCTGGGTCGCGGGGGAAAACAACGGAACGCGAGGGCATATACACAGGCGGCGGGGGGGACGGCGAGAGAGCGAACAGAAACTGCATAGGTGCGCATCTGGCACCAGAAGCACTAGGCATGTGGCGTTGGTTCACCTACGAGGAAGAATACCCGGGAGAAGAGTCGAAACATGATCCAAACCACGTTCTCGTACGCCAAACCAGCACCAGCACCGGAGGGCGGCTTTCTGCTCAAGCTCCGCACGGCGGCAGTAGCAGCAATAGTGACACCGACAGCGACTCAGATGTGGCACCGACGTTCGATAAGCTGGACCCGTCAGTGACTGCTGCAATACTGGCCCAGGTAGGCGACATAAGGCATGCATGGGAGCTTTGCCGCACATATTGGGCATCATGGCCCGACAGCAATGAGAATGTTCGTGCTGTTGCGGCGTAACCTGGCATCATTGCTGTGTTTTTTTTTGTTGTTGTGTACGCGAAAGAAGGGCCGACGACGACGCGGGCTACAAACACGCTCGTGCGTACAGCAAGTACAGCAGCAATGTGTTTTCATCATGCCACACACCTGCTTACATAGGTTTCAGCACTAGAGGCATGGGTGACTGTGTTTGCCAGAGTTCGAGTGGGCCGCCTCGTCCTGCATATCAACATATTCGGGACTTGGAACTCCTTTTGTACTCCTCCTCCACTGCTCGTCAATCGGTATTTATCCACCACAAATTTGGTCCCGATTTTGCTTCAATCATCTTGTCATTTCCCATGCACCAACACAATCCTCGGCGAATATTGAATTCATATACGTGGGCATCGTTGTGGGCATACGCGGACACCATCACATTCCGTCTGTGGATGTGCCTTCTCACCGCCAACCTCCGAACGGAACGGAATTAATTGCTAATTTCGAGATTCCTATCGCGAGGGTAACTGTACAGTAGTAATGCTCCTATAGCACACCCTTTTCCACACCGGTCTTGATACAAGTTCGGGTCGCAGGCAGGAGCAACACACCAAACGTGCGTGGATGCGGTGACAACAAACGTGAGCGCGCGCGTGCGTTTTCGCGCTTTCCCTCCCCCCCCCCCCCCCC